TATATATATCTATTATACAGGTACCATCTGCTGTATAGTTCGGAGGTCCTTTAATCATCGGAGTCGTTCGTTAGTTTCTTCTCTTGTATACGTGTATAGGTGTACCTTATACAGCTCGAAAGTATACGGAGGGAGCATCGCATTCTTCTTTTTCGCCCCGAGCCCACCTACTTGTCTACGTGCAGGCATATCAATTGCTGCAATCGTAACAGCAGAGGATAGTCGATGGGGTACGACGACGTGGTTCTATATATATATATATATATATATACACGTACATATAGTACACGTAGAGTTGATTGGATAATAGACGCGGGGATGGATGATGGCTGCAGATGGTTATCCGAGTAATTGCGGGGACGATCGAGGGATCGTTCGCCGTTTGATTTGAGGCGGTTGCTGGGCTCTCGTTGAAGGATTTTTCTTTTTTTTTTTTTTTTTTTTTTTTTTAACTTATAAGTTAGAACGTTATTGCAAGTTTTTGTTACAATTTTTAGTACAAACGACCGTATGAGAATAACAGCAAGTCTTTGCCAATTGGGCATCATCTTACTTTTCGAGTAGCTACGGTTCCACTTCTCCAAGAACTAGCTGGATAATTTACTATTATCAGCGTACCGGCTCAAAAATTTAGGGACACTCCGTACTGCGGAGGGGTAGACACTCCCATTGTTCTGCAATTTTTCTTGGCTGCATAAGCTCACTGGCTCTCGAGGAACCATGTCAGGCGAAAAAGTATCATTGTCCAGACAATCTTGTAACTCTTACAGCTCAAATTTTTCGTGATTAAAACGACGCGGAAAAATTAAATCATTCCAGAAGTGATAAGCCTCCCTACAATATCTGATTGCACAAAAGACTNTTTTTTTTTTTTTTTTTTTTTTTTTTTTTTTTTTTTTTTTTTTTTTTTTTTCGCTTATAGTCAATGAACTTCTCTCTTATGATGATTTTTAAAGCTGGTGGCACGTTCGAGTAGAAAATGAAAATAAATAAACAATAATTACATTCCACGAATATGTTATAAACAGCTGTTGTAACACTGATGGACCAAAAAGTATCATTTTCTCGGGCTTAAAATTACCAAAAGGCCCAACTCTGATGTAAAATTCGGATTGGGCTGCCCAAACAACGTAAGAAACAACTTATGTAGTGCAATCAAATGAGACGAAAAATGGGCTATACGATATAAATCCTTATACAGAAACTCTGTCATATCAAATACGAATATTTTTATGAATTTTTGTAAGCATAGTATTCGCCCCTCCAAACACGTGGAATTTATGCAACACCGGCAGAAGCAGCGAGTATAATCATTGAAATAGCCATACCAAAGTGTCTTCTCACTGTTCTTGCCTCGATCGCGTGTATTTATCGCGTTATACCTGAAAAACAAAGAAAAATTAAATAAAAACTTTTCCGAACAACGTTACTAAAAAGCTCGACTGAACTGTACGGGCTCGCGGGGAAAAAAAGCTGGGTTGACCTGTGCCTCGTTAAAAGCAACATCACCCCGTCCTATACAAAAGAATACACAGTTTCCACGCGCACTGCCTCTACACGCAGGGTATGAGCTGATGTCTGTCGCGCGAACGGGTTCGACAACACCAGCGCAGGGACTGAAAAAAAAAAAAAAAAATTTGTTTCGGCCCCCCGAGCGATTTGATTAACGATCACCGCCTTTCCCTTTTACGCTGCTTTTTGTCACTCATCGGAAAAATACTCATTTTAACGCGCCTCGTAAACTGCGCACACATTACATACGTGGACCATGGCTCCTTTTTTATGTATCCCCTTACGTCTATAGGTACTTGCTCATATGCCGTTTAAAAGCCCGTACGCATGAGCTCTGTATTACAGGTATACGTGGATATATCACGCGAGAGCCCTCGGGACAGGAATTATTACATACCATGTCACATATATGT